TGTGTTTTTCTCCTATATTTTATTTTGTTGAAACCTGAGTTGAATAAGATTAAAAACAATAACAACAGCAACAAAGAATCATAAAGAGGTAAATCACAAGCAAATAAAATCATTTTATGTGGGATCTCTCTACCTTTCTTTTTTCTTTTATACAGACAATAAATACTAACTTTCAGATTCCTCACTCTGTTAGGATGCAATGGGAGAGAGGCATCCCATCATACTATTTATTCTTCACTATTTCAGATTTATGCATTTATAGTTATGCTGTCTATGCAGTCTAGTGTTATTGCGCAATTTTGATAGACCAGCAGACAGCTATATTCAGCTATTTAGGGAAACAGCTAAGGAAAGACAGCAGATACAGATACAGATTAACAGAGTTGGAAGGACCTTGAAGGTCATCTAGTCCAACCACCACCCAAGCAGACCCTACACCATTTTTGACAGATCTCTCCTTAAAAGCTTGCAGCCTCTTCTTGAAAGCTTATAGTGATGAAGCTCCCACAATTTCAGAAGGCAAGCTGATTGATTGTTCTCACTGTCAGAAAATTTCTCCTTATTTCCAGGTTAAATCTCTCCTTGTTTATTTTCCATCCATTATTCCTTGTCTGGCTTTCAGGTGCTTTGACAAATAGCTTGACCCCTTCTTCTCTGGGGCAATGCTTCAAATATTGGAACACTGCTATCATGTCTCCCCTGGTCCTTCAGTGGACTAGCCATGTCCAGTTTTTCAACTGTTCATTGTATATTTTAGCGTCCAGTCCCCTAATCATCTTGGTTGCTCTTCTCTGCACTTTTTCTAAAGTCTCAACAAATTTTTTATAGTATAATGACCAAAACTGGATGCAGTCTTACTAAGGCTTTATAGAATGGTATTAGTATCTCCCTTGATCTTGATTGTATCCCTCTAATAATGCAATTTAGGATTGCATTGGCCTTTTTGGCTGCTGCCGCATACTGTTGGTTCATATTTAATTGATTGTCTATTAAGACTCCATGATCCCTCTCACAGTTACTCCAAGCCCGGTTTCACCCAGTCTGCATGTGTACTCTTGGTTTTTCTTGCCTAAGTGTAAGACTTTACTTTTCTCTACATTGTTGACCATAACCATGGATTGGATAGGATGTGCCCATATTAGCTTGAAATGGCCAGTAAATGCCATCCTGGTTCTTTCTATAGTTAGTCACCAAACTTCATTTTTTATGAAATGAATAGTGCTGAGTAACAGATTTTATAAATCTTGCAGCTACTGTTGGATATTATCATAAAAGCAAATATTACTAGTAGAGCACAGAAAACCATAACGCAATGTCTTGGGTTCACAGCAGGAAAGTATGATGCCAGGGCATGTTTTTGCTCTGGCTAACTACAACTGGCAAAAGCTTGTGATGTAAATGAATAATAACATTGAAATTATGCTGGGGTTAGGAGAGAGTTCCCAGTCTTGTTTGTTTTATATAATATAAAATGTATATTATATAATATGTAACTAGTACAGGTAGACTTTCAACCATTCCTTTAGGGATTGTTCTAAGTTACAACAGTTACAACAGCACCGAAAAAAGTGACTGTCACACTTACAACCGTTGTAGCATCTCCATGGTCACATGGTCAAAATTTGGATGTTTGATGTCTGGCTCATATTTATGACATTTGCAGTGTCTCAGAGTCATATGATCATTTTTTTGAGACATTCTGAAAAGCA